TCCTGCTGAGAATTAGCCCAGTTCCATTATGTGTGGGCGAGCCCCTGGTTCCTCGCCCTTGCCTGTTTGAGGTACACAGATACAGCTGAGAGACTCTGCAGGGAGTGCCAAGTTAAGACACCCCATGATAGGAACATTATCACTTACTCTTTCATAATGAGCTCTTTGTGGGAAACCGAAAAAGATCAGGTTTATCTACCATTCAGTGCAGCTGTGGTGCCTCTGTGAAAAGCGAGGCCTGCTTAGTAAGACAAGAAGAATCCAGAAGAATTGGATTCTTCTGGACAGACTCTCAGAATGAGCAGGGGCCCTGAGTGCTTTTTAACTCTTCCAACTAACTGGGGTACTAAGGGCCAGAGTAACTGCTTGGTTTGTGTCTTCGTTCATCAGTTGAAGAAACTGAGGCCCAAGGAGGTGAAGTGGCTTCCCCAAATCAAAGGTTAGTTAGAGGCCAAGCCAGAGCTTATAGTAACTAGGTCTTCTCACTCCTGTGGGCCAAACTGTCGTCCATAAACCTGGTTATGGTTATAATTAGCTAGGTTGCCAGAGATAGGACAGGATGTATAATAAGAGTATATTGTGAAATCTTTTCTGATTTGAAAAAAAAGATAATGATGAACTTGGTCAGAATTTGTTCTCTGTGCCTTTATTCTATTTAATCTGTGTTCACATACAAGACTTAATTTCTCAAACTGTGTATTTCTCTGTTTTATCTCACAGGTTGCCTATTTATCAGAATAGGGCTTGGTGTTACGAAGTCCACCCCTGTTGACTTGAGCCACTCAGAAGACCTGTGCATCCTGGCAGCCTCATTTATCTCACCTCATGCTCCCACCTTGTAGTCGTGTATAAATATGACTGGCGTAGCACATACATATCCCTGTGGAACTTACTACTTATCTATCTAAGATGGGTCACTTAATCCCAGGCCTTTCTTTGATGTCTGTACTTCATTCTTTCCTGGACTTTCCTACCCCATAGATTTTAACTTTGGAAACCTTGGCATGGGATTTGTACAAGTAATATTTTAGGTTGGTTTGCACAGGACCTATCATATTTTGTAAGAGTTGGCTCTCACATGAGCTCTTTATTTTTAAACATTACTCTTTCCTGTTGAGAATTCCCTGCTTTGGAGTTGCATCTATTCTTCCTATTGTCTCTTTCCCCCTTATGGTAATGACAGTGAGGAGTGCCTCCCTTCAGGGTCACTTAACCTCGTTCCACTCGCAGGGAGAATTCATGAGTAGTAATATGTTCCCCAAAGAGAGTCTGACCTGCAAACTGAGAGTGTTATGGGAAGGCAGATGATACCCAATCACGTAATTAATGAAGATTTTTACACCTAGCCCACTTCTGTGGGTGAGGCCCAGAGGAGCCTGACTCTGGGTTATAACAAAATGCTGCACAACCATAATTTCACTGTTCAGATCTAATATTAAATCAGGCCCAGATTTTTCTGTACTTATTGAACACCTGTTAGGTTTACATGGGAATCCTCTTAGCTGTGAGCTCCTTGTGGATAAGGAACTGTGCCTAGCATTGCACTTGGCACATAGTAGGAGAACCAGGAATAAGTGTTGAATGAAGGGGATTGGTGAACAGCTGGGGTTTTTCAGAGTATCCTGTCCTGGGGCCACTCCAGATGGAAGTGGTTCTCCTGTAGCGTAACACATCCAGTTCTTTCTTGAGGTTGGGCTGCAACTTGACCTTCTTCCAAAGATGAAAAGGAAAATCATTATTCATCTGAGATTTGCCTTTGGGTGTTTAGCATGAATTTGGTTTCTAAGGAAAAAATGGCAAAGCATTCACGCAGGAAAAATTATTCTTTAGGTATTCTTCTCTGATGACCATAGACTGAGCAAGATTTTTGTATAGTTACTGTAGCCATGAAAATACTAATCATTGGACAACATTCCTAATGCAACAAATATCAGCCCGTAGAGCACTTTGATGAATGTCAGGGAGCAGAGCGAACAGAAATGTAATGCTAGTGAGTCGGCACTCTCTTTCCCAACTCCACACGTTTATTCAGCATCTTCCTATGTGTAAAATCCGTGATTTCTCCTTGCTTTTGTTTGTTTTTCAAGTGTCAGTCTGAAGGCAGAATATAGCTTTTGTAACTGATGAACTGTGATCATTATTTGTGTCTATAAAAAGTGATATTCCTCCTCACTTTTAAATTAATTTGGAGTTTCAGGGATAAGGTTTTGGTGGTATGTGGCATGCATTAGGTGCTCAGTAAATATAGAAGGGAAGGCAGAGTGCTGGGAGGAGGTTGCGGGAAGGAGAGGAAGTGATCCACGCTTGGGCCCTGGAGTCAACCTGCACAGAGTCCAACAGACTCTGCGAGTAACTGCCGGGTAACCTGGTAACATCCATTGACTTCTAACCTGAGTTTAGTATTCTTTAAAATGAGATAATACCTACTTTGTAGGGTTTTTGAGAGGCTTAAATGCATGAATACATGTAAATGTCTGATATAAACCCACTCAATAAATGCTAGTTTTTTTAATATAATTAATAATAATGTTCATGACGTCCAGTGATTATCTTCTTTGAGAAAGCACTTGTCTCTTTATCTTCCTGGACTTTGAAATGAGTCCCCTTTAGTTGATGTGGATTCCTCAGGGCAGAGAGAGACAAGCACAATAGAATTGCTCAGAACAGGCAGCTGCAGGCGACAGCCTCCTCAGGGACGCCCCATGGTGCTATTGCCCTGCTGCCCACGTGTGGGTTCCTCTCTCTGCTAGGGTCTCGGGCTTCAGTCCTAATCTCACCTGACTGCTGTTCTCTTGCCAGGATCGAGGGCCAGATTCTCCTTTCCTTTGTGTATCCATACTTTCCTCTTGCAGGAGAGCATGTTTGCCTGAGAACGGGGCCTTTATTAGCCCATCTTCCTAGGGGGTTTACCTTGAGGTCGAAGAGAGACAAGCCGGCCCGGTGGGGAAGGGCTGTCTGGCTGTGGGCTGATGTCTGCCCATTAATCCTTAGGGCCAGATGTTGGTGTTTCTTAAACCTTTGATGAGTAACAGTGTCCTGCATCTAAGAGACTCTAATTTTACCTCTTTCAGAGACCACTATTTTTTCACCAAAGTTAGATTTCCTCAGAATGAGAGTATATTTTCTAAAAATGTTTTGGCACGAGGTAGAGTAACAATAAAAACATGTAAAGCATTTAGCCCAGCTAATGAGCAATACTGGAGACTGGTGGCAAGTCAGAGGGCTTCCTCGGGGTTTTCCTGAGGTAATTGACACGCACAGAGAGTGGAGGGGCCCTAGGAGGAGACCTGCTTTGGAAGGTTCTGGCCCCTACAACCACCTCCATTTCTCTGCACCCAGCGTGGAAGAAGGGGCCCTGGCCTCTCATACCTGCACGCGGCTAACTTGTGCAGGCGCTTACTGCGTGCCAGTCTGGGTTCTGAGGGCCATCGACCCTAAATCACTTCATCCTCAGGACACCTAAGTTCTGAGGTGGATGCTGTTTCTAGCTCCATTTACGGAGGAGGAGACGGAGGCTCAGAGAAGATAAAAAATTTCCCAAGGTCAAACAGTCGTTAAGTGATATAATCAGTAAAAAAAAAAAAAACCCAGGCTCCAGAGCCTTTTCTCTTAACCACTGCTCTACTACACTGCTTGAGGAGTTACCTGTCCTTCCTGAGGATCGCACACAGGGACCAGAGGGGTCCAGCATATATTTAGCATGTTTCTTCCCCAGCCTTTTAAAATACTTTATTTTCAGTAGGATTCCAGGCATAAGTAGCAGTGTTCATCTCAACAAGGGCAAACTGCCTATAAGAGCTATAGGGTGGCCCAGCACTTTCCGTAGAGTGACCTCTGCCCTCCAACAGGGCAGCACCCTGTCACAGGCCAGGTGCTCTGGAAGGGGTTTCTGAGATGGAGTTTGCCATGCAGGTTATTTATTAGGGATCCCAGCTGAAGGGCAGTTGACACAATGGGAAGTCGAGCTGCAGTGCAGGCCTGATGGCCTCAGCCAAGCACCTAGCTGTGGTGGAGCAGACGTGGTCTCTCAGAGCTGCCTGGTGGTACCACTGCCACCATCAGGCGGTGGATGTGGGACACCTGAAGGAGGGCATCCCCTTGGGCAAGGAAGCTCTTTTCAGCTGAGGTGACTCTGAAGGAGCTGACAGCATTCCTTGTCACTGAGGCAGTGCGTTCTTCCTTGAAAGGGGGCTCTAGGCGCTGCATCCGTGTTTCCATCTTGACGCTTTCAATTTTATTAGCATTGTGAGTCTACACAATGGGAAATGCTTTCTTCAAACTCAGCCTCTATTTGCTTGGATTCTAGATAAATAGGCATTGCACAAATAAAGACAGATCCTCAGCTTTCTGGAATCCTTTTACTATAGCCCTAGGCAGAAGCAAAGGTATCACATCAATATATATATTTGGACCATGTGATTAAAGTCATACCTGGCATTTTTGGAGGCACTTAAAGAGTTTGTTTTACGCTCATCATATCTTTCAAGTGGAGCCAGTTGGCTTTTTTCTGGAGGCCAGAATCCAAAGCTAAAAGCCACAATGCAGTGATGGAAAATCTCTAGTTACGTTTTGCTTGCCAGTTGTCTTTTAGAGAAATCTTTCAGTGATTAAGATTCCAGGTTTAACTCCCTTTTCCTTGCTCCTTCCATCATGATACTAAAGCAGTCTTCCAGCTCACTTCAGAGCAGACATTAAACTGCATGCCAACTGACTTATATCTTGTCCACACAAGTTGACCACAGATTCGTTCCTGTGTATCCGGTGGGTGCTTTTCCCTGTAGGATCCATTACTGCTGTGTCCCACTGTTGCCCACAGCTGGCTCTGGCCACTGACGGTCTCATCTGCAAGGTGCACTAAACCTTTCTCCATTTCCCTTCTTTCAGGTTGGAAAGCTTATCCAAGAAGCAGCTGGAAGAAGTAATTTGAAACGAGTAACTCTGGAACTTGGAGGGAAAAGTCCCAATATTATTTTTGCAGATGCTGATTGTAAGTCGACCACAGATCTCTTACATGCCCTGGCACACTGGCCTGCGGTGCTCACTTTTATTATCTCCACTTTCAACAGGAGACTAAGAAAAAGGTCTTTGAAGCTAAGTGGCATTCAAGGAGAAAAATCTAGACCCTTCCTTTTAAGGACAAAATAATATTGGTAAAGACCACTTATCCGTTGACAATCAGATAGAGTTTGTTTTCTAGACGTAATAAGCCATTTTGACTGTGTTGTTGTAAAATAGGGTAGAAGAGGTGAAGGCCTGGTTGGTATTGTATAGTGGAAAGAGCAGTGGTCTAAGCCTCTGAGCCCTGGAAATGTAACCTCTGCCTAGACTCAAGAAACCTGAAACGTCTCATGTATGCCTGGTGGCTTTGTAGATCATTAAAAATGTTTAGTTCACTAGCTCTACCAACGTTTTCCCAAACCCACACCCCCTTCTCTGTTTAGCCATCCCCACCCCTTTCTGTTGCCCCCATGGCTTTTAGTCAGGATGACAACACACTATGGTCAGTTCTGTAAGAACAGACCTAAATTGGAGGCGATTACACCTTGGCAGTAGGACTATACAGAGGCCTAGAGCTATAACCTAGAAACCCCACGTCTCCAGGCAGGACGCTCTCTAGTCCACTCTGCGCGGGTGTGCTCCTCATGTTTGGAAAAACTTTCCAGGGAATGAAATTACAAAACCTCTTTCAGGCATCCTTTTTCTTCTTCACATCCTGCCAGGCAGCACTGCTTCCTCAATTTCACTACTAGAGAGATCAGAGAACAGAAAGCAGAGTTGCCTGAATTTCAGCCCCAGCTTGGAATTTGCGAAGAGTTCAGCTTCAGCTTTATACTAGTCGTCAAGAGGATCAGAATTCTGTACCTAAATTCCGATTAAGGTGTAGGCACTCCGCCGACAGCACATTGATTCATTCAGTCAGTCAGTCATTTAGCAACTAGCAGACACCAGATTTATTAATACTATATTGAGTGTTATTTAGTATCTCTTATTTTCACATGAGATGAAAACGAGTTACCATATGCTACTATACAATTCCGTGTAAATATAGAGGAAATTTGGCGTCTTCAAAGACCATCATCGCTGTCACAGTTTAATTTGCCAAAATACTAATTAAAAGTATAGCTGCAAGGTCCTATAGATTAGGGATTGCAAATTGGCAGTCTATAGGCCAAATGCAAGGTATGGCTGTGTTTACTTCTAAGTATTACACAAAATATTGATTTCCGTTTTTTCTTAAAACTGGAAATCTGGCAACCCTGGGCTATGTTGATGCATAGCAACAGCCAAATGTAGTACTTTCCTTCTGAGTCTCTGTCACATTGCTTTACTACTATCTGCGCAGCCCCTTTGGTTATTGGGGTTTGAGACTCCTGTTATAGATAACGTGGTCTAATCCCTCTTTTTACAGAAGAAAGGGATTCCAAGAAGTGAAGACGTCCAAGTTAACACAGCCAATAACGTCAGGGTCTGGTTAGAACTAGAACCAAGTTGTGTTCTCAATCCAGTGCTTTTCACTGGGCTGCTCACGGTTCTGCTCTGTGGTGAGCATGACATTACACCTGGGGCTTTGGGGAGGGAAGAGGGTCGGTCCCTTAGGCCCCTCCACGGGCAAAGCAGTGTTGAGAGCATGGCTGTTTCCTCTTGTAGTGGACTATGCCGTGGAGCAGGCTCACCAGGGTGTGTTCTTCAACCAAGGCCAGTGCTGCACTGCAGGATCTCGCATCTTTGTGGAGGAGTCCATCTATGAAGAGTTTGTGAGAAGAAGCGTGGAGCGGGCTAAGAGGCGCATAGTGGGCAGCCCCTTTGACCCCACCACCGAGCAGGGACCCCAGGTAGAGAAACCATAGGCATGCCCATTTTTTTTTTTTTTTAAACATTTTTATTGGAGTATCATTGCTTTACAATGGTGTGTTAGTTTCTGCTGTGTAACAAAGTGAATCGGCTACACGTATACATATATCCCCACATCCCCTCCCTCTTGTGTCTCCCTCCCACCCTCCCTATCCCACCCCTCTAGGTGGTCACAAAGCACCGAGCTGATCTCCCTGTGCTATGCGGCTGCTTCCCACTAGCTATCTGTTTTACATTTGGTAGCACATATAAGTCCATGCCACTCTCTCACATGTCGCCCCAGCTTACCCTTCCCCCTCCCCGTGTCCTCAAGTCCATTCTCTACATCTGCGACTTTATTTCTGTCCTGCCCCTAGGTTCTTCAGAACCTTTTTTTTTAGATTCCATATATATATGTTAGCATACACTTACTTCACTCTGTATGACAGTCTCTAGGTCCATCCACCTCACTACAAATAACTCAATTTCGTTTCTTTTTATGGCTGAGTAATATTCCATTGTATATATGTGTCACATCTTCTTTATCCATTCATCTGTCGATGGACACTTAGGTTGCTTCCATGTCCTGGACATGCCCTTTCTTTACTTAATCTCTGATGAACACAGAAACCAGACACTCTGGTGGAACCCAACAAAGCATCATCTTCCTTTTTCTGCTGACTCCTTACTCTTCTTCCTCATCTGTCTTCATGGCTGGAATCCAGTAGCCAGTGAGGCATTGCTTGCTTACGTCTGTGTTTCTCTTTCTGTTTCTAAATTTTATCCTTGAAAAACCAAGAGATTAGGATTGCCTTAAGGATATCTTGAACTTTGGGGGTAGGTTGGAGTCTCTCAGCTCCAAAAAAGGACCCAGGCATGGCAAGATGGATCTTGACTAGAACCCAGTCCCAGTCCTTAACTGCTGGAGTCAAGACATCCCCACAGGTGCCACAGTCAAGGAGGGCAGGTATCTCTCATTCCCAGAGACCCATTTATACTTTTACCAGCTGCCAAGGATTCTCTCCACCAACCTGACCTACTCTGGGATGACCACTTGCAGTTTGTAATTGTGTAGGGAATAGT